TTCGGACCAGCCTCGAAATTTGTGTCAAGAACTTCAAAAATCCATATCTTTCGCATACGAGCTCTGTTTTCGACGTTCTTTATATCCACGCGTAGGTGAGATTATGCTATACAATTTGTGTTTAGACTCCGTCGGCTAATTTTGACTTTATTTTTATAGTTTATATTTTTAACAGGCCGAGACAGGAAAAGTGTGTTAAAAATTAATAACTTCCTCATCCGACGTCCGTTTTCGTCTGTCTTTTTACCGTTGAACTACTATCAACAAGATCTTCGATTCTCGTTAAGGTTGTGTCGGCTAAAAATCGTTCGATCTCATATTCGAACTTCGGGTTGCATACTGTTAAGCCGAAACTTAGAAAAATCATAACTTCCTCATACGAAGTCAGATTTGGGCGTTCTTTTTATGCACACTCTCGGTTTAACGAACACTACGACTTTCGTTTAGATCGATAAGGCTAAAAAGCACTTTATCGTAAACTCACTTTTTACGTCACACAGCGTCGTGTCGGTTCTGTCGCGAAACTTCAACAGGTCATAACTTCTTCGTTATAACTCGGATTTCGGTATTCTTTATATATCTGAAATCCTTGTTTCGACCACTACAACTTTCTTCATAGATATCGGCTTTATCTAACATTTTACGTTTGACGCTTATTTTTATCCTTAATTTATTATATCATCATAATTAAATATAAGGCACATAAATTCACATAATTCATTCTTATTACTTCAAAACACGTTACAATAGTTGACCTAGACTATTACATCGTCTTTAATGCTTAACCCAGAAACACGGGTGTTACATATAACGAAGGGATAGCTGATCACTTATCTTAAGACCAACTTCTAATCAGAGTTTGCCAGTGTCTTTGGAAAACACTATTTACTGGTTATTCGAAGTTGTACTTGCAATTGTAGTTAGCGACTTATCCAAGTGGGAGATTGTTGGATTAAGTGTTTAAGGTCCTAACTAAATTGGTATAATGTTTATAAATAAAAGTAAAGTCCTTTTTGGGTTGCCCTCATAACCAGGAAATAGATTGGATTGATCAAAGGATTTGTTAATATATTATGTGATTAATATATTAATCAGAAATTGGTAATTAATGATTTGTTAATTTATTATATGTATAATAAATTAATTAGAAATAGATAAATTAGTTAATTATTAATCAGGATTAATCTGAAATTAATTCGGAATTAATTGGAATTAATTAAAAGTGCAATAGTTGAATTGTAATTGTTCAATAGTTGAACAAAAGAGGAAATTTTAGAATAGTCCATAGCATGGACGATTTTGGAGCATTTCTTAGGGTTTCCAGAAGTCTCCTAGTTGCTGATAAGAAAGGATGTGGATTGAGATTAAATCCATTATTTAATCTTTCAAATCTTGTTTTGTCTCTAAGTTACCTAAACTATAAATAAGACCCTTTGGCACCAAGAAACTTTTATATAATCACATAAAGTTTTTAAAAATTTTAACTACAAGCAAAAATATTGATAATGAACAAGAACAAACTAATCTTGATAATAATAATCATGAACAAACTAATATTGTAATTGATAACGAACAAACTAATATCGAAAATGATAACGAACAGTGAAAATGATAACGAACAAATTTTAAGTATAGTAAGGGTCAAAAGACCCCAAATTTTTTGTTCTCTTAAAGCCTCTAAATTGGTTGAGCCACCCCTGCAAGGTGTAAGAGTTGATAACTTTGAACATCCAAATGTTGATTGTGCTCAATGTGTTTAACCACTACTTAACAATGATGAAGTTGATTCTAAAGGAAATGGCGGCGAGAGTATTCAATAACACGTAGATCCAAGGAGTGAATGTGTTCAACAACATAACAATGTTGAAATTTTGGTTGCAGAAATTGGTGTTGAGGGTGTTCAAAAATAAGTTGATGCAAGTGATGAAGGTCATCAAGAAAGGTTGATACAAGCGGTGAAGTTGAGGATCAAGTTGTAAGAAGTGTTAACAATGATGAGTTTGATAACTAGGATAACAATAACGACGAAGTTTATGACAAGGAAAATGCTCAAGATGTTCCTGAATGAATACACACGGATGAGTTTCATATATTGAAGATGGTAAACTAATGTACTCCAACATCAAGATACAAAATAGACAAGGGATCGAAGCTATCAAGGCATATGTATTCTACCAGTAGCCATGCCACGTGTAGAAATGGTAAACTAATATACTGCAACATTAATGTTTTTTTTTTTTTTAAATATCACGTAGCTTTGTACTAAATGGTCAACCACATATTAGTCCAAAATTGGCAAAAATAAATAAATAAAACTGAAAATACTCACAAAATATAAAGACTTTTCTACAAATAACCCTAATAATACTTTCATTAGAAAAAACACGTTATACGTGCACTCACATTGTCAAATAGTCACAATACATATTATTGATAAGTTATAGTAATAAATATAATTATTAGTTTATAAGTAAACACGTTCTTTTAACATAAATGTATAAACAATATATTAACTTTTTCTAGATAAATTGCTAATCATTAAAGCCAAAAGTCAAAATAAAAAACATTTTGATTACCTAAACATCTACCATTACTAATAGTGGAGATTCACATGTAAAGTGAGGGCGACATTTTCCTAAATCCTAATAGGCTGTTAGGTTCATTGAAATGTAATGGAATCGGGGGTAATAGAATTCGATCAGTTCCACCAAATTTCAGCTCAACCTTTTGAGATGGACTTTGATTTCTAAATGAAAAAAATTCCACCGAGCGAAATTTTTTTCAAAGTTTGGATAGAATTTGTTTCAATTCATGAAGGAAAGTATAAGATTTCCGTATTACCCTCTACCACCATCACTACTGCCACTGATCACCAACCGCACCACTGCACACCACCGCCACCAACCCCCATACTACCGTCACCGGTGCCTGCCACCCCCACCACCATCGCCACCACCCCCACCACCGTCGTCGCCACCGCCACCACCATCGTCGTCGTCGCCACCACCACCACCACCATCATCGCCACCGCCACCACCATCACCACTGCCACCATTACTGGCAGCACCACTGACGCCACCGCCACCACCACCATCATCGCTGCCAACACCACCGGCACCACCGCTACCGCCACCACCAACACCACCTACGAACACCACCGCTACGACCACCACCTCCACCACCACCAACGCCATAACGATACCACTACAATCTATCTCTACTGCCGCCATCAACACCACCGCCGTTGCCATCACCACCACCTTTGTCGCCACCATCGCTATCTGCTACCACCACCACCACTGCACCCTCCACCACATATAATTTATAAAACAAAATAAAGTTAAGCAAAAAACTAAGAAAGACAATTATATTATTTTAAATCATTCCAATTGTATTTCCTTCAAAACAAACAGAATATGAAATTGGATTCTAATATGAAATTGGATTCTAATTTTATTTCCTGTCAATCAACCAAACAATCAACCAAATAGACTATGGAATTAGATTACATTTCCTGATAGATTTCAATTCTTTGAGAGATTGCAATTCCTTCGTAAACATTTTGCAAACCATGTGTCACCTAAATTTTGTGCATTGGATGGTGGAAACTCATTCTATCAGCGAATGAGTAAGAACATTTATGAGCAGTGGCGGACACTTCAAGAAAAACCAAGGGTTGCATAAAAAATTTTAAGAGTTGCACTACTAGAAAAAAATAAATAAATAAATAAACTCATTTTCAAAGGTAGTTTTCATCACAAAATCGTCATTAAACCGACAAATTTACACTAAATTCATACTTATCAGACTTTGTGATGGATTCGTGATGGAATTGTGACGGATTTCGACGAATTTTCCCTAAATTTACATTTGACGAGAAAATTTGAGGGATTGCCCATACTACATACTTGATCCACCTATGTTTATGAGCGTTTACATACGAACAATATATATAAGTATATAACTCGATAGAAAATGAGTGAATTACTTTCTTTGAAATTTTTTTTATTGATTTTTGTCACTCCAATGCTTTATAAGTTATTGATAATCTATAACATAAAATTTATAAGATGTTTACATTTTTCAGCTTTGATCAAGCAACGTTGATAATCAACGTGATAATCAACGTGAGATGTGAGTTGTAACAAACTCAGCCGTTTAATTATCTTTTCTCAAGCAACGTTTCAATTCAGTGCGTGAGACAATTGCCACAAACTCCACACTCAACTTCACACGCATTCTTTTATCAAGGAGTTGTTACTGTTTTTTTTTTTTTTTTGAAACTATTTTATCTACAGAAACCATAGAAAGAGAGAAGGATACTAAAGTATTTTAGAGTAAATAACTTAAAGCAATTTTTAGTGATTAATTAAAATTTGACATTACAAATACTATGTAACATCTGCATCTATTGTGAAATAACAGTTTAAATGTTTATTTAATTGAGATTTATTAAATTTATACTTTATATAAAGGGTGGGATTCAAACTTAATTAATAAAACTGATAAGAAACTGAGGCACGGTATCTTAATAGTTTTATTGCAAATAAACATTCATTATTAACTATCAAAATATAACAAACATTAGTACTCGTGAGAGTAAATATGATTAATTCTATTTTACCTGTTTTTTTTAATCAAATATGTAATTTCCCAACAAAGATTTCTTTAAAACAAATAATATTAAAAAAAAAAAAAAAAACTAATCATTTCTATATAATTAAGCTCCAAACCACAAAATAAGTAGACAAACAACAAGAAAATGAACATTATACATATAACAGTTAATTCATATCAATCTAAATATTGTGTTAATTATTCCTCTTACAAGAGTACATTGTAAATACAAATTTAAAAATTCAACATAATTTATTTACCCCACCCCCGAACATACAAAAATAGAAAAAAATGGAAGAAAGATAAGAAATAGATTATATAAATTAATCCAATCTTTTGTGTAATTATATTGTTATGTAAAAGATGATTAATTACATAAATAGCTAGTAATCTTGAGCATAGAAATCAATAATTTCCCTGAGATTAAGCTTGAACAATGATGATACATCATTATGCATCAACCATAACATATGCTCAAACAAAATGGCATCCACATCTACATACAACACCCTCTTCTTCTTCTGTTGATCAACCATCAATCTTGATGATGATGATGACGACGACGACGAGTGTTTCTTCTTGTTCTTCACCAAATCAATCAAAACCCTAAAAGGATTTTCATCTAACACAAAAGGGTCCACCAAAAACTCCTTCTTTTCCTTCCCTACCACCACTGTGATCGGATCATCTGAGCCAACAAAGAAGTCATCAGTTAGCTGCCGGTAACCTAGCAGGTGGCCGGAGCAACGGCGGCTCAAGATTGAGACTGGTAGAACCAAGCAATCCATTTGTAGGAGGAGAGGCGATAATGGGTGTATGTTTGTAAGTGAAAAGAGTGTGTATGTATGTATGTATATAGGTGTTTGTTCTAAGGTTTTTGAAGGTGGAAGGAGTCAAAGTTTTCTGGTTTTCTGAATTTAAAATGAGGTGGTGAAAGGTGGAGTTTGTATGGTAGTAGTTGAATATGCCAACCAAACGGCTAATAATGGTGTGACAAAGGAAACAACATGTAACTAGTTGTCGATGTTTGCTAGTTACTCATATGTAGCCGTTGGGAGCTAGTATATATATATATATATATATATATATATAGATATATATATATATAATATATATAATATATTATATATTATATTATATATATATATATATATATATATATATATATATATATCGAAAATGTATTTTTATTGAAAATTGTGAAGCTGGAAAGAGCGTAGGAGGAGCGTGTGGGCCTTTATTTTCTATGGATTTCACGAGAAAGACTTTTTTTATTAAAGTTTTTTTTTAAAGTTATTAGTTTTAGAGTAACATGGTCGACGTTTGTCGTTTGCTTTGGTTTCGTCCCAAAGAATTCCTCTCTTTTTTTTACTATGTAAGTATTAAGATGTATTTATGCATTTAATCCTTCTTTAGAGTTTTGAGAGCCTCGATTGAATCTATTAAGCCATTATTATAAATTTACAATTGTGTTAATAATATATGTCTTTATTAATTATTATTATTATTTAGTGGTGGGACAATCCAACTTCCACCGGTCATCCTGTACAAGACTTGGTAATGTATTGTCATCGGCTTCACCAGCTTCCACATTTGTATATGATCCTTCTTTTCTAGTTGTATTTTCCCGGAAAATTGTTTTATGTATATATTTTTTAATTTATTTTGTACTTGACAAAGGATTTTGCATCCGAAAAGTGTGCAACCAACATTTTACGTAAAAGATTGTCATTGAACAATAAGTGTGCATATTTATGTTTCATTTGCTTGAATTGTTTACATCTTACTTTCATTTACGACAAATTATTATTGAAGTGATATCTTACTTTAATTTATGACAAATTACTATGAAAGTGATATCAATTGTGCTAGATTTTAAAGTAAAGCAATAGAACAATAAATATTCATATTTTATATCACATACTCTCTAAGATAAGATGGATTTTTATACTTAAGCAACATGAACTACTGAAAAGGAAATCAAGTCATAAAATTTCACCATTTGTCACTCCCAATCAATTTATTCTTTGAAGTAGTTCCTGCTATACAGTAATCGAATATGTAATAAAATGGAACATTATGGTGGAATGAAAAAAAAATGCTTTGGTTGACATAGAAAAAATGAACGAAGCTTTCATCAAAGAATGTGATATCTTTTCTGATTTTCATTTATGGGGGAGCGGTTTCTTTTTTCACTCATTCTATGAAAGAAATGATATATATTTATAATTATAAATTATTTTTATTCATATAGTTTTTAATAGTATTCATATTTTTAAAATTTTCAAAACTTCAATAAAATATATTTATTATTTATTAAAAACTAAAAAAATATATAATTACATTTCAAGATTTCAATCTTTTATAATTTTTTTTAGATTACATATAATTCTTTTTAGACTACTTGAAAACATACAACATGTATTTTGAATCAAATAAATATATAAATATATTTATATACAATTTATTTTACCATATATTATTATTTAATTAAAGTTTATTATTATAATGCAAAATTACATAAATGATCCATGTGGTTTACCATAAGTCACAACTTCAGTCTATGCTAATTTCTTTTACGAACATTGTCCCCATTTTGGTTGATCATGTTGTTTCATTTTGTTACAAATTTGATCTAAAATTACTATTATACCATTTTCAATTAAATTTTCTTTTTTCATTTATATAGTTTTACATTAAAACCACCTTGGAATTTTATAACCATATAGAAAGCACGAGAGCACAATAAAAAAGAATATGGTCCAAAGTCCCTATTTGCGAATCACATGTAACACACAAAAGAGAATCCATTTCAATATCATGTTGTCTAGATTGACCATTGTTCGGAGTTATTCAACTTCACTCTCCAAGCCAACAAATTTTCCTTGATAAGAACCAAGTTTTGTTCCATCTAGGAGATTCTCTCACAACTAAAGTCGATTTGTTAGTCAAACACCTAGCCGAAGACAACATGTAATCACTTGTTCAACACCCCCTTTAAGCTCTTAGTGCACACAAGTAGGCTAAACATCAATCAGTAACCTTTACTAAAGGAAAATGACATTGTAGCCCTACAATCTATTTCACATTTGCCCATTCAGTCACTTATGTTATTTCCGTGCCTTTTAGGGGAACAAAGTTGGTTTTGTCGGGTCGAATAGGACCTTTTGTAAAAACTGAAGGGGTAAACCAGTCATCTAAAACTCATTTGACCAGTTCACGCTTTCTATTCGTCTATTAACCAGTTCTTATCCATTTGACTACTTCTTCTTCCTTCTTTTTCTCCGTTTCTTCTTCTTTTTCTTCTTCTTCTTCTTTATAACATCCTAAAATATAAGACTAGCTTCTTAAATTAATAAAGTAAATAAATGAAAGATGATTTATTTAATTAAATCATTAAGGAATAATTATATCATTAGTTGATATGGAGTTTAGAATGTTCAAAGTGAAAATAATAACATTTTAAAGGTTAAAGGGATAAAATTGTCAAGTTAGCAAAATGAGTTGACCAAAGGGTTGACTCAAATAGTGGAAGGGACTACCAAAGTTATAAAATGGAGGGAGAGGGACTTCTTATGTCAAAAACCTTAAGTTAAAGTCATAAATATTGTGGTTTAGTGGGCTTTAGCCAAAAGATGTAAACTAGAAGGACCAATAGTGAAAATATTAGGAAATAAGATGCAAGCCTCCTTCATTATTCTTCTTCAGATCGTGTTTTGCAAGGGAAGAACTCCCTAACGGCGATTTGATCTTAAGAGCTCCTAGGTTTGAATCAAGCACGTTTTGAAGCATTCAAACAAGAAGGGAAACAATCAAAGGCTAATGAGGTATAATCTCTCCTCTATTACTCCTAAATTTCAAGTTCAATTCTTGGAGAAAACACCAATGTCGAATTTAGCTTCTTCACAGGGTTAGGGTTTTGGTTTATAACCTCCCTTGAGTAGTTTTGGTGATTCCAATCACTATATTTGAAGATTTAATGATTTGGGTGAAAATCTTCATGAACCCTAGAAATCTAAATTAGGGATTTCATGTTATATGTTAAATTGGAATGGATTCAATGACCTAGATGATGTTTTATGACAATGAATCCAATTAGAATACTCAAACACATCCATGATTGTAGAATGTTGCATAAACATGAATTTTAGGTGATTTTTGGGAAAGATATGATGACATCAATGGATTTTATGCATTATGGTATAATTATTGAGCAAATAAAGTTCATACCTATGAATGGATGCTATTTGTATGATTTAGATGCAAAATAGTAAGTGTTGATTTATTATTGAATGAATCCATGGAGTTTGTACACAAAAGGGAATTTTGGGAAATCTATTAATAACTACATAATGTTTGACATCTAAGAGGTGAATTACATTCATGAATTTGAATTGACACTCTAGAGATGAAATAAGAACATAAACATGAAGAGATCTTAGCGAAGTTCTATCCCTAGTGATTGTTTTGGCCCAAAGGGCAATTTGGGAATATGGAATGGAGTTGAGGATTTCATAGTTAGATTAGGTGTTTAAAATGAGATTAGTTATGGTTTCATGCACTTGACAACATCCTCCTGAGTATTCAACAAGTTGAGAACAAGTTTTGTGTAACGACGTAATTTTTCAAACAAATTTTTCATTTTCAAACACAATAAAACTCAGTTTTATATTCTCAAAATCATGAGTATCACAAATGTCAACAATTCCACACATATAAAACGAAATCCCAGAATCATATAATGATCTCTCGCCAGTGTGTACAATCATGCCGGTGCCTTCCTGCGATCCTCGGAACTACCTGAAACACATAACACATAACACGGTAAGCACAAAGCTTAGTGAGTTCCCCAAAATACCACATTCAACATATTAGCCACTCGAGGCTATAACACTGTAAGACCCTCCAGTCTATGTGTCTCAGTGGGACCCTCCAGTACCACGGTTCGTTGGACCCTCCGGTCCGGTCTGGTTGGGACCCTCCGGTCCGGTCTCAGCCTCGCATAATATATCATAATATATATCACATAAATAAAGCGCAACTCAAGTAAGCACATAAGACCCTCTGGTCACACATAAATACCACTCAAGGTAAAGTATAGTGAGAAGACTCACCTCGTAAGCTAGCTAGTAAAATCTCGTGCTCGAAATCCTCGATCTAGCCTCCGCCTATCACATGGATAATATTTCTAATCAATACTCCCCTCACACTCAATTACACTATTCATTGATCTCTCTTACACTCTTAGTGTAACACCCGTAGACCCGGGCTAGTCAATTTAGAGATAATAGGGGTCGAAAACGACTTTTCGACAAAAGATTATTTAGAATAAATAATCTTAACCAAGTTGTATAATATGTCTCAAGGTTTCCGTACATATAAAGAACGCCGAAATCCGAGTTATAACGAAGAAGTTATGACCCGCCGAAGTTTTACGGCAAAACCGGCACGGCACCGGGAGACGTAAATAGTGACTACGATAGAGCGAGTTTTAGCCTTAGCGATCTAAACGAAAGTCGTAGAAAACGTTAAACCGAGAGCGTCCATAAAAAGAACGCCCAAATCTGACTTCGTATGAGAAAGTTATGATTTTTCAAAGTTTCGGCTTAGCAGTGTACAGCCCGAAGTTCGAATATTAGAACGAGCGGTTTTTTGCCGACACAACCTAAACGAGAATCGAAGATCTCGTTATTTGTAGCGCAACGATTAAAAGACAGACGAAAACGGACGTCGGATGAAGAAGTTATGAATTTTTAACGGACCAATCATGTCCTGGCCTATTAATAAT